CCCCCCCCGAACTATAGCAACCCTCCCCAAAATGTATCATGTCTTGCTATTTTAATTTATATCAAGGCAAGGGCTGATGTGATGGATAGGCACAAGACATGGCTGGGAGCAGGGGATGAGAGAAGGCTGCTTTTGCACAGCAGTGGGCATTGGTGCCCGTAAAATGTCAGCCTGAGCTGTGTGAATTGCTTCAAACATGTCTGGAAGTTGTTTTCTTGGAGCAGTGGTACCGATGAGTGGGTTTTGGTGGTGCTGGGTGTCTTCCCTCTGTCCCTCAAAATTGGAAATGAGCCTTAGAAATATCAAGATTTTAGTACCCTGTCGCTTTTCTTTTAAAAATGTTAATCTTTCTTGCTTGAACAGGTTGTAATTCAAATATTTAATTTATTTGAAATTGCTGGGTAGTATCAGTGTTAAGAAGTTGATGATGAGAATATCTGTGAAAAAGTCTTGGCTAAGCATGCTTTGATGGCAGTGTAATTGTGGTTCTCCATCATTAGTTTTGATAATGAGCTCTCTCTAAAAGCTACTAAGTTCAATTCTTACATTGATAAAGAGTGGAGATTTTTTCCATCCTTTCCCAGATTTCCTTTTGACTCCCTTTTCTGTAGCCACTTGTATGAGAAATAGCCTAAAAACATTCCAGACATCAGATATCATCTTCCACCACATTTTTTTTTTTCTGCTGCAAGAATAGTGCTCTCCATTGTCAATACAAACTCTGTCTCCTTGGCTTTGGAGGCTAGCTGCTATGGCAAAGGCAGGCAGACTTTTTGTGTTTTCAGGCTTGAATTGACTTGTCTGTCCATTTTAGTAGGCCACACACTAAGCCACATCTCAGTGCTATGCAATAACATGAAAAGAAAAATTGGCTACAGGTCTCAACTGTGTGTTCTTGTCCCACTTTAGGTGAATTTTCTCTCCCCTTAGCTGGCAGCCACATATGTGCTTACCAAGCATCCTTTCACCGTGGACAAGTATTTTCTTTGCTGTCATGTCAAGAGGATTGGGACCTACAGAGTAATAAATATCTGCATCTTAAAATAGTAACTAACTGTAGGGAATGGTGTGTCCATAGGCAACAGGTTGTATGGGAGGTTATGCGGCATTTATTTGCATTTTATTACTTTTATTTGAATATTTAAGACAGACAGACATTTGTCATATTTCATTTGCTGTTCTGTGTAACAAACTCAGTACACATGTACGCCAGGTTGTTCCGAGGTTTAATCATAAGTATTACTTCACGTAAAAATCTCTTAATTTACTGACTTGTCATGACCATAAACATATATTAACGAAGGAGCCTGCATGCACAAGTGAGTGGGAATGTAATGCTCCAGGTCATTTGCCCCCCATGCTTGCTTTTTTTGTCAGGCTACCATGGAATGGAAAATAAATTGCAAAGCCTGATGGAGTTTTAAAATAAAAGGTCACACTGTTTCAGAATTTACAGGCTCATTCTTACCTCTTGATATATTTTCCTCTTCTCTTTGAAGGAACCAGGGAGTGTTATGAAATCTGCAGAAGATGAGTTAATTAATTTTAATGTTGGTGGCTGGTATTTCTCAATTCCCAAAAGTAAAGTCGCTCAGTTTCCTGAATCTCTGTTGTGGAAAGAAGCTTCTGCACAAGATCAGTCTGAAAATCTAAGATTATTTATTGACCAAGATGGTTTTGTATTTAGGCACCTTCATTATTACATGCAGACTTCAAAATTATCTTTTTTCAGCTGTGCTGAATTGAACTTATTGTATGAGCAAGCGTTAATTTTGCAGCTTTATTGCAGGTAAAGTGGGATAGTCTATGTGGCTTTTCTGTAATTTTTTCATTCTTAGATAATATTGTCTGTAGAAGGATGTCAGGGACTTTGCGTCTATCACTTTATCAATGCTCACGATAGGCATCCAGACAAATAATTTCCACATTCAGCTCATCTGCCACAGTTGGTGAGTACAGAAAGTGTTCCAAATTTCATGCTTGACCTTTCTGTAAGAGCTCATTCAACAGTCATTACTTGCTTCTTTTTACTAAATTTAAAGCAAGCAGAGGCTTTTATCTACCAATTGTTGTGCTCTATGACAATTATACTGGTTGATCTTGCTGAATATGAACCTTCTAATCGAAGGGGGTGAGTCTGCCCAAACCCAAATTCATCCCAGTGGGACAGCACTGAATTTATTTCATAAGAAATGGGGAAACGATGATTCTTCCTCTCTTCCTATTCTGTAGCTACATACGCAGAAATATTAAGTGGATACCTGTAACGGATATTTAATTTAGCTGAAAGTATTTTTTATTTTAATTACAGTGTAGTTTTGTTTTGTGCCAATGAAGGTTGGGTCCATACTTCCTGCCTGGATGAACTGTGTATTTTTGTACATTAATATTTGTATTTCCTCTAAGTTTGATCCAAACTCTGAGTTTCTTTTGGTTTCTAATACTTTTTTGTGGAATTGTCTCAAAATGCTATGATGCATGATATTTTTAACCCAAGATGTTAACATTTTGGGTTTAATGTGAACATTTTTGGACTTTCTTTTAGGACTATGTTTAAAGATATAACATCTCCAAATAGGTTGGGAGAGGAAGACCACCAAACCTCACTAGTCTATGGTATTAACAAACTGTACATGATCACATATTTAACATGGACCTGTTCTGGTCCATGTGGCCAGGAACACATTCCACGGACCTAGAATTCTTGCATTTTCTGGCTTTTAAGTGCTTGTCAGTGTAACATTATTAATTCATGAAGGTATTTTACCTATGTGCTTTAGAAGTCATAACCATAGCTCTAAAGTTACTTTATACTTCATATCCTACAACAGTACATAATCACTTGTTCCGAGTTTACAATAATTTGTTTATCATTCAGTAAAAGATTAGGAAATACAGACAGTTACTCATTCCTATCACTGAGCCAAACATCGATTCCCCTTTCTAATCATCAAATTCCTACAGCTTATTGTAAAGATATTCTTAAAAAGAGCCCAAATGGTCTTTCAGGCTTTGTGTTGGGTTCTTGGCTATTGGCTATTTCTGTTGTTATATACTTTTACACGTGCCAGAGTGCTGTCTTGAATTCCAGGAAGTTCTATTGAAACTCAAATGTTGAAAAATAGTTGGCTTTTTTTAAAAAAAAAATATGAATAGCTCTAACTATATTACCAGTTTTTATAAAGGAACTCCACAAGTTCACTCCAGTTACCTTGAGGTACCTGAAACTTAGGAATCTAACACATGTTTTTTTTCTTGTCTGTACACAATATTCCCTGGCATATTTTAGTAGATGTCAAGTACAGCATGGGATGTATTAGACCCTTTCCCATGGCTGTTTTTGATTTTTTGCATTAATTATTTGAACTGAAGTAATAAATAGAAAAACTTTACATACCTTAACAGATTTTAGATAACTTGAAGGAGGAGAAATATAATTTACATGTCCAGCCTGCAGATACACCAGTAGCTGAAAGAACATCTCTGAATTACTGGAGAACACGAAAATGTACCAGCAAGCTGTCAGCAATTCCTCCTAACAGTCCAGCCTTCACAGGTAAGTGTCCCAAACTGACAAATTCTTTGCCATCCTTGGGAACGTCCACGGACTGTTGTTAGTTGTTGCAAGCCAGGAATGTTTTAGTGTCTTGCAAAGTTTATTTTTGGTGGGTTTTTTTTAATTTAGTCATCTTTATTTTAAAAATAGGAAACCCCATACAAATGTTTATTCATTTGTGCTGGGCTGTAAGACTTCATCCTTTGGTGAACATTAAATGTTGCACAAGATTAATGCACTTTAATTTGCTTGGCTGTACTAGAGTCAGATCTCCAAAGCGTATGTCTGTGTTCCATTTTTCTTTATATATATCTTGATTTTTCACTGATTTTCTTCTCCTAGGGTTACATGAAAGAGCTCCCCTAGGGCTCGTGGATACACCTTTACTAGATACGGAAGATGAAGTGAATTACTGCTTTTTGCCACTAGATTTAGTGGCAAAATATCCTGTACTGGTTAACGACGACAATTTGCTGTGGCTGCTTGAGAATGCAGCCCTGATCGAGTGCGAGTGCAGTGATTTCCGCTTCATAGGTAACTGCTCTTTTTCTACTATTATTCTGACATGTCTACATCACTTTTTTATATTAAATTGTTTCTGTCTGTCTTCAGTAATGCTTCTTTAGAGATCAGAATCTTGTCATCTTTTGGTTTTGGTTTGGTTTTGCTGTCTGCCAGTTTTACCGCCCTGTTTATCACTCAAGAAACAAAGCCTCTACCACGTGGCTTCCAGCGTATGTGTACCTAACCGTACCTACTTACGGCTCCACTTATTTGGGTTTTATTAATCCAGCAGTCTTCTGAACTAAAATGCATTGATGGCATCAGGTTCTGGAACTGCTGTTAACAATCGGTAATTAAAGGAGGCAAAATTTACGTGGTAACTCTAAATATTTAATCAATCTTGTATCTTTTCACTCGTAAAAAAATACATGTCTTTCATTAAATAATCTTCTAACTTCAAAAAAAGACAAGTACCTTTCAGTAGGATCACATACTCCCTCCATCAACATAGTATTTCATCCTCTGTGAACTCAGTTAAGATGAGGTAGGTACGGAATTGCTGCGGCTGTGTGTGCTAATCCTCGGATGTCAGCACATGGGAAAACACGTTTAAATGCACGACGGGATGGAACTGTGCCTGGAGGGAGGGGGAACCAGCCAAATAAAGAGGAAACCTCTAACATGAACCTCTCAAGATGCTGTAATAAACAAAACTAACCAAATTCTATACTTCTCCTATTGTTTATGCTGCGTCTGGTCTCCTCTAGCATAAACCTTGAGTTTAGGATTGTGTTTTCAAAGACAAAGTGTTCCCCGCTGTCCGTTCATCCGCTGTGTATATGTGCATATATGGATAGCAATGCTGAAGGAAATGAGAAGAACTTATTTTTGCTAGACTGGAGCAGTGGACAGAAGACATCAGCACACACTTCCTATGTTTTATTTTTATTTTCAAGTTAATTTTCTTCGCTCAAAGAAGATGTTGTTGCCTGATGACTTCTCCAACATAGATGCCTTGGAAGAAGAAGTTTTAATTCTGGGAATTCCTGAGCTTATAGATGCTGTGAAGATCTATAGAGGTAGTATAATGTACATAGCTATATATTTTCTTCCTTATATCTATTGGGTTTAATGTTATCGTGTGAAATTAGATGTTTGAAATGGAAATTATATCAATATGATCAACACTGAGGTGAGTTAGCCACTTGTTTCCATAAATGTTGAAAACAGTGGAAAATACGGGAGTGATTACTAACCACTGACCTTCTGGGGCGCAGTCTCGACCTCCTTTCCTTGCAGGTGGCTGCTCCACAGAGGCCGGGGGGCAGCAAAAGGCGACGGTGTCAGCATCGGGGGGGTCCCCGCTCTACGCCATGGCACTGGGGCTGCTGGCCAACTACCCGGATTCAGCTCTGGGCCAACTCCACGTGGGCAGCGACCTGGGCAGGAGCCGCCTGCACCTCTCTGGTGATGGCATCCTCTTCCAGCATGCCAGGTACATACTGCCTTCATACAGGCAGTATCGACATCACTGTGGGTTCTTTCCAAATGCTATCATCTAATGGGTTTTGTAGTTGAAAAGGAGTCCTGTTTTCAGCAGCTTGTCTTTTAGAACTTGTATTCATTTCAGCTAAACCTGCAGGTGACTATAACTGTGGGAATTACCATTCTTCTATTATATTGTAGGCTTCCCAGCCTACAGTGCCAAAGCAGTGTATGTAAACTTTCTAATGATCACACATTCCTAAAACTTAAGATTTACCATTCATTTGGAAGACTGTTTATGGGATTTTGAAAAGCATCTAAATGCCTATGGGTACAGGCTTTTTTGAAGCCACAGAAAAGTGGTACTGCCATGTCTAGTCCAAGAAAGAACGCAGACTTCTGAATATCACGTTAGAACTTCATCCTTTGAGACATACTTCTCCGTATTGTTAGCATTATTGCTTGGGCTTGCCATACCAGTGTACTGGTTTAATAACATGCCTATCGCGTAGGGGAATGGCTCCTTAGGGAATCGTTAGCACCCCTTTCCTGAAATCATCGAAAATGTAAATACAGAGGTCAGACATCTTTGCTGTGACAGAGAGAATTTTTTTTAAATGCAGACACTCACTAGCTGAGTCATAAACTAGCCATTAAAATACACATTTTAATAATCTCTATTAAAAAGTATGTATCGTTTTCTTTCACCAGCTTGTTGTGATTTGAATTAAGAAACCCAAAAGACACCACAATGATCAGTAGATTGTGAGTCAAACCTGCCAGGCAGTAGATGCTCAGCCGCATGTATTTCCATCAACCACAGATTGAAAAGCTTTAACCAACTTTAAATTTAGCACAACCAGACAAAACCCACTCTGTAAAGGGTGACAAAAAGAGAGCAGGAAGGTCAAACACACAGTCAGCTCATCTCTGCCCCTCAAATTTTGTCTGCACTTGCTGTTGGCGCTGGTGAATGATCCAGTGTATGAGAAATACCATATGAAAAACTTTATTCAAAGCTATTGCAGATCATTATTGGATGGCTCCATTGCAATTGCTTTATTTGTTGGTGTTGGATTGTTCTCCATTAAAAAAAAAAAATGACGTGGAGAGTTATGACTAAAGCTCAGTAGGTGCAAAAAAAAAAAATTTAGAATTCATATTGCCTGATTTGTACTCATTAAAAATAAGTAGTGAAAAAATAAAGCAAGAGTAAAAAGTTTAGTGATTTCATCTTCTTTTGGATAGGAATTGGCTGGGAACTTGCCGACTTCCTCTCACTGAAAATATTTCTGAAGTCAAAGAGCTCTGTGCTTATTTGGACAAAAGGGACACCACGTACGAGCCAATGAAAGATGCTTTAAAATGCTATCTGAAACAACAGATGCCAGCAGAGAGCAGAGGTTATAGTAAGTCAAGATTTCTCAAGAACTCTTTCATTTTAAAGTAGAATGAGCGGTGTTGCCTGAATACAATTAATCAGTCAATGATCTACATCTACTTTTGAGGAATTGTTACAAAAATTATTATTATTAACTGGCTGTTGTTGCTCAGTTGAACCCTAGAGTGGTAACATTAGGTTCCAGATGAAATACAGAGCAAGTCTGTGCTGGATGTAGGTAGTACTGTTCATACTTTTGGATCATTTTACTTGCTAAACTTGCCAGTCTAATTCATCACTGAACTAATTCACTGAATCCAGTTCCTTCAAGCTTAGATGATCCAAGTTACTTTCATCAGAACATGTTCTACCTTAAAAATATGAGGTTTCTTTTGCTCCCATTTTTCAAATGTGGGACTGTTCTTACAACTCTTGCCATTAAACTGAGGAATCTATTTCTAACTTCCAGCCTAAGTGTATTCACAGCCATATTTAGCTCTTGCTAAAACTGACCTCTAACCTAAATGCTGTTTCCACTTTTGTTTATCCCCTCTTTTTCTCTAATGCATTTATAGAAAAATCATGACATTTTCTGTCAGCCCTTGTTGTGGCTTCTTAATAGGAGTTCATATGATCCCCTGATTGACCTAGTGAATTTTCTTTTCACTTATCCCAGTCTCCCCATAGTTATAGAATTTAGGTCAGCAGAGATCTCTGGAGGTTACTTAGTCCAGCTCTCTGCTCAGAGCAGGATAGAGTAGGTCAGGTCGCTCAGGACCTCGCCAAGAAACGCTTTGAATATCTGCAAGGGTGGAGATTCTGCAGCCTTTCTGGACTGCTGTTCCAATATTTGACCACCCTTGTGCTAAACAAAGTCACATATGTAATTTCCTACGTTCCAACTCTTTTCCATTGCCTCTTGACCTAGCACTTTGTACCTCCAAGAAGAATCTGGCTCTGTCTTTTGTACACCCTCCATTAGCTGTAGACAAGAAGAACCTCCTTTAAGCTGTTCTTCATAAGACTGACCACAACCAGTTTTCTCTGCCTCTTCTGTTATGCCATGTGCTCCAGGAAAGATAAATTTAATCACGCTCTGTACAAGGTAATCCAGTGGAAACCTCTGCAGTATTTTAGACTATGCTACTACTAATTCTGCTGGAGCTGGCTCGCTCAGTGCATCCTACAGTCTCACTTGCAGTTCCTTGTTCCACTGGTGGCAATCACTGCGATCAATGAGTGCAGCCAGCCCTCTGCTCCATCCGGGCACAAGCCTCCCGGCTCAGAGTTCGGCTCGTAGGATCCTAACTGTATTTCCTGTTGTTTATTTGCAAATCTGACTTCTTGTTTCATCCTAGTGACCTTACTTCCAGTTTACTGCACCCTCAATGCCCTCTGAGTCTTTCTGTAGGGGCTGGTTATCCTCCTCGTTTTGAGCCGTCAGCGTATTTCACCAGAATAAGGTGAAGGGGCTGATGTTCAAAGTATTCTTCCCTGCCCTGTGCGGAAAGTGTGTCTGCAGAAAGAAGGGAATCTTATCAACTCTTAGATGGAATTCTAACCCTTGAGAAAGAGAGTTTTTCATCCTCAATGAATTCTGTGTCATTACTGTGTAGCCTGTTGGGTAAAACATGCTGGAAAAAGTAACTCTGACTCAAATCTCTTAGCAGTAAATGATGCCTCATTTGTACATATGTTATGGAAGATGGATAGTCCCATTATAGTAGCTACTATAGACAAGCATATGCTAGTTGGTTTGTTGTTTAGAGATAGTAGAATCTATTTATATCATTATCCCTAGCCCTATAAATAATATCTTCGAGAGTGTGACTTGCCTATATCTTCTGTAAAGGCTATTGTAAGAAACACAGTTCTCCAATCCGGAGCCCTCTTCAGTGTTACTTGTATTTTGAGGTATTTTTAAACAATTTTTTTGAAGGCAAATGTATTTTGATTTTCCTAAAGCAGTGTCCCAGAACTTACTGACTATAAATAGTAATCCGAACTATACTATTAAAGATTTCAACAGAAACTTTAACCAGATCTTTGTTACCATGCTAAGGTAAGATGTGGGCTGAACCCAGACTAAAATATATGCAAAGCCGTGACGCTGCACCTGCTCTCTGTGCATAAGAGCTCCTTGAGGCTCGCACCTTCCCTGATGCTGTCCTCTTCGAAGGAAATAATGAAGCGAGGCTCCTTGCAAAGACGGGCAATGATGCGATAGCTCTATTTCAGGTTGCCCTGGAATTCCACTGACTTCACACTTGCTGACAAGCCGAGTCTTCGCTTTCAAAAATATTTCAGATTTCCGCTTTATTTCCACTACTTTGGAAAGAAATTATTTCTTTCTGTGGCGATAGAATGTATACTCAGATTCACCTTCCTCAGGTGACATAAATGCGCCTGCTCGGTAGAGCGACCATCACTATGCTAATGCGTATAGCCTCCTTGCTGTTATTATTTTTAAATCTATCGAGGAGAGTCGCTTTGGCTGCAGCACAGATGGACCAAGTCGCCCACTACTCTGACGTTACATCCTGCCTTGCTTTTTCCTTGCAGTTATATATGAGCACTAGACAAAGCACAAGAATTTCAGCTCTGTGTGCATAAGGTACGCTCTGCGACTTCACCATTTCAAAGAATCATTATTATTTGCAATATTTTGATGTAAAATTCCATATCATATTAACTTGGTGTCGATAACAAAATAATTACTACTTGCAGTTATTTCAGTTGTTGCCTTTCCATTTGTTACTCCGTCTCTAGATGCAGACTGGACAGCAGAAGTATCCGTGTGCTCACTGCATCAGATTGTGAAAGTTTATGTGGGGAGTAACTGGTATGAAACGTACTTACAGACTTTACTGAAGGTACGGGTAATTAATTGTCTTTGCATTGCCTTCACGTGAACCTTCCTGAGACAGAAGCTATAATTCTCCAGACTAGAATATATATTTTCTGTAATAAGAATTATTAGAATGGGTTTGACCTGAAAACTTGGAATTATCAGCGCTTCACATGTAGGCTGGGCATTTTATATGAATTATGTTCAAGTGCCTGAGGGAAATAAATCTTGGACTTCCCAAGAAAGTACTTTCTGGGCCAATAATATAAGTAGACTTGATAAAATTGGTTTAATTCTTTCACTGAGAAAGGAAAAAAAAAATCCTGTTTGGATTTCTTTCCCTCTATAATTAACAGTGGAAATATAATCTTAACGTATTTTTATTTCTGTAGTATCCAGAGCTGTTGTCAAATGACAAGAAAGTCTGTTGGATCACATATGGTCAAAGTCTTCTAATCCATGGAGATGGGCAAATGTTTCGACACGTTCTCAACTTCCTAAGACTTGGGAAATTGGTTTTGCCAGCTGAATTTAAGTAAGCAGGGTGAATGTGTTTCTTTGGTATTATTCGATGGTTGTAGGGGAAGCAATCAGAAAACAAATCCCCATGCTTTTCAAAGAAATATTATCCAAAAGAATTAAGACTTTTCCTTTTAGTCTCAAAATAAACTACTCTATCTAAACATAAATGATTGGGATTTAGAGATTGAGAGATATGTTTTTGTTTCGGTGTGTATGCCTTTATTTTAACGATTGATATGCCAGACGCTTGTACTGCGGGGTATATCATGTGTTGGTGCACTGTGTGCACACCTTTAGCAAAAAGGAAAGTGGTTTTATTGATGAGATCATTGTATCCCTCTGCAGATGTTTTGTTTGGGGTTTTTTTTATGGCAGGGACAGCTAAGTCTGCCTAGTCCAGCTGAAAAATACTCCACCTGCCCCCTCTACTGGTATCTCTGTTCTAATGCTGAAAAATAGATCTTCCAAAACCACAGTGGTACAGGAACGGAGGAACGCGGGGTGCCTAAAGAGGAGCGGGCGCTCTCCCTCCATACGCAGGTCACTCTGTGTAGGTCTCTAAACTTTATCAAACACCAGAAATGGAGAAGTCTTAACCCCCCAGTCTCCTAGGGATATTCCAAGGATATCCCAACGTGTTTCAGTTGCCCCTGAGATTGCCCAGAACTGACCCGTTGGTGTTACGGTGGCTTCTTGTAGCAGTTTCCCTGGGACTGATGCTTCTGCCGCCCCTACAGCTTACAATTTTTTGCATTCAGCAACGAAGGTCTGCCTGGCATCAGAAGATCTTTCAGTCTCTTCGGTTCTCCTTGTTTGTTGGATCACAACTCGTTGGCAAAATATCTTCACTACAGATCCCCAGCTGATGTGATCATTTGTAGCACATTTAGCTGTTTCCAAGAGCATTTTCATTCTTTTTTCCGCAAAGTCAATAGAAATGTTACACCAGTGGCTTCTCTGATATAATAACCACAGGTTGCTTTCATCTCTGTCGTCAAAGGCGTAGGCAGCCAGATGTCAGACACTACAGTTACATCTATACAAGCAAACTAAGTGTGTCTGGCAATGTTTTTGGTCACCGAGGCCAGCTGCCTTTCCACTGTAACCTCCCAGAGATGGTGCCTTCACTCCTCTCATCCACTCCAAACAGTTCCAGGAACATCTGAATGGTCAAACCATGCCTGAGAATTGTTGGAGAGGGTGTAAATTGGGTAGGACCAGGCATGATGCTAATAGTTTACTAGCAGGGATAATCGTGTTCTAGGACTAAGAATATTTCTGGGAATGGTGGATGTCCTAGAAACCCATCGAACCCATGTCATGAGTGTCACAGAGCGGAGCAGGACTCCTGTTTTTCAAAAGCAGGTCTTACCATCAATACCCATGGTTAATTAAAGAAAAAAGGGAGGACCGAGATTTTTCACGTAACTAGTATAGAGGGGCAATAGCTGGAAAAAGTATCAAAAATAGCAAGTTTCACAAAGATTTAGTGGGGTGCTGCTGAACACCTCTGGTTTAGGAGCTCGTTTGTTTTGGCTGCACCTTTTCAGAAGTGTGGCCTCTAAGGTAGGATTCCTGACATTAAATTCTGGCTCAGTGGAAGTCAGTGGTAGTCAAAGGTAAAATTTCTATTGATTTAAATAAAACCGGTTTTGGTTTGGGGTTTTGGTTTGGGTTTGGTTTTTTGGGTTTTTTTTTTTTTTTTAATCATCATTTGGATGCCAGATGTGAAACAAGAAGAAGGAAAAAAAAAAAAGTCTGGGTACTTTTCAGTATTTAAAATTATAGGCTATTTGTCTGTCTGTTAAAAGAAAAAAAAAATCACTTGTGTGATTGCATCTTTCATCTTGTGTAGTGAGTGCCTAAGCTTCCAAAATTAATATATATTTGGAAAAGATAATCTGGTGAGATTGTTTTATAGTGATTTTACAGTTCAGTTTACTTACAACTTACAGAGAATGGCCTCTCTTTTGCCAAGAAGCAGAGGAGTACCAGATCCCTTCTCTTTTAGAGGCACTTTACCACTCTGATGCATAAGGTAGATAAAACTTCTTTCTTTTTTCTTTTCCATAGAATAATGGCCTTTGTTCTGACCTAGCAGTGTTTGTCCTTTGAAAGGAGCACAATTTTCTCCTTTCCTTCTGAAACACAGCCATTAAAGGTTGAGCAATTCCACTATCTTTTGGGCCACATTTTTTTTCCCCCCATCAGTTATTTGGGTGCTGGAACAGTAACAGAATAGTCTTCAGCCAGTTCTCCAGTAACCAAGGAAAAAGGCAACCAACATTTCCCTCCCCTAAGTCCAGATACTGAGAATATTGCAATGCACGCTGGAAACCATTGTCCAGAGACACCAGGCTGAGCAGAGACAGTCTGATTTATTAGCTTTGGCTTGGCCCTGGCTTTGCCAAGCCCCAGCTGGTTTCTGCAGACCCACTGGAGGATTTGCCAGCACTGCGGACTGTAAAACGGCGTATCTTTAACGCAGCATCACAGGAAAGGTTTGAAACCAGCTGGAATTTTAAATCTTGATAAATTAATGTTGAAAATAAGCCATAACTTTTTGGATATCAATTCATCGTTGAAGATTTTTCTCAGAGACTTATTTTTCCATTGCTGACAACTTTAAAAATAAGATTGGGTGCTTTTCTAAAAAAAATGTTTTGCTATTAAACCAGCAATTAGCATTCAGAGTTACTGGAGACCAGGCTTCATGGATTTCCAACCTCGTTTTACTGCCACGAGCAGTAGTAGGACACACTAGTGGTAGCTACCACTATCCCACCAGTGGTGACAGCAGTTCCTGGATTTTATTGTAGGTCTTTACGAAGAAGAAATCCTAAATGTCGTTCCCAAACTTCCCCAACCCAGTGTAGGAGCCTAACCTCACATTCCTATACCTGTAGAGCAAGAGGAGGATGTGGGAGGAACTCTGAAGCACTCTATGTGTGACTGACAATCTGTTACGCTCCCCGGGAGGTTTCAGCTAAGGACTAGTGCTGCTCTAACACAGACTCCTCCACTGCTCTTCGGTGCTTTCCCATCAGGGAAGGTGTTGGCATCTCTATAATACACACCAAAGGCCTCTAACAAAACGGAACCACTGGGGCTTGGTCCCTAGAGTCCGTTGCTAGCTGGCCAGGCTAGTCAGCTCTGTAGGCAATCGTATTAAATCCCTGTCTATAGGAGACAGAGCAGAAGCGACTTTCTCCTTCCAGAATTGTTTTGCCTTTTTGGAAACTGCTGTGCAGCTCGGGCGGTCACTGTCAGGAGCTGAGTTTCTTGCAGACTTAAAATTCAATTTTGAAACTATGAATGTAGATGGTTGACTGGCATCTGACTAGCTTGCTCCCCAAAGTGTCTAGAACCTCTTCATAAAAGAAAGAGGAAAAAAAAAACCAACCCACTCCAAATGTGGTGGCAAGTGGAGATGGCTGGGGTTCAACAGCAAGGCCTGCACAGATCCATTGGTCAAGGGTTTGTGGGTGCTGGAACAGAGACAAGAAATGGTTTTTATCTCCTGTGTATCTGCAGCATCACATTTCAGACATTCTCATCAGTGACAACTCCTGGTCCTTTGCTACCCTGATAATTTATTCACCAGTGATAGTTTAAAAGCAACATGTAATAATGAATGTGATATACACAGCTCCACTGGTGACTGAAGTCCTGGCAGCTCCTCTTTCAGGTTGGCTGAGTATTGCCCCTGGAAAAAGTTCCATAATAACTGCAAATATTAATTTTTCTAGATTATGGATGCACAACAATGAATTGCACAATGAAGTTTCTTTTCCATGCAGAAGGTTAAGTATTGTGTCTTGGAATGAAGAGCATGAGTTCAGCAAAGATCCGAAAGAAGTAAGATTTGGTTTTTAGACTATGTTGCCATAAAGCACTTCTCAAAGCGTTTTGAACTGGAAAAGTGCCAAATTTAAATTCTCCAGTACCATTTTGCTTTTGTGTCTCTCCAAAATCAGCTACAAAATAAGCCTTGGCAGTATCTCTCAATGAAAAAAGAACATTTTCATTTCAAAGAGCCAGGCTTTGAGCATCAGGAGAGGCTGGAGAACAGCAATGTTCGCATATCACAAAAACACGAGAGCGCTCCTTCTATAAAGAGATGATTTAGGTGGAGTTCCACACTTAATGCCGCAGCAGATTTCAAGGCAGGGTGCTTTAGCACTGCCTGAGTGCTCAGCTTTTACACCTGCTTTTTATCCAATGACTGTATGCTCTAAAGTCATGCAAGGTCAAGATTCTCTTTCGGAAGGATTCCATTTTATTTAGGAAGTCAGTGGAAGGGGGAAAAGTTCTTCCTGCTCACGCCTTTGAATACTTTCAGTGCTTGGTTGGACACCGGCGGCTGAAAGTTGCCTTCAGTCTCAAGAGAAAGGCGAAAGGCAGGTGCTGCCTGTGTAGCGTTCACACGCTGACATCAAACCGCTCCACCCTGTAGCTTAACGCTGGTGTTAAGGTGATGGAGCGGTTGCTCAGCTTGCTTTAACGTGCCAAACCATCTGTCTTGTACCGAACGTGCTGCTGGCCGTTCAGATAATCAAAACTAGCTGAGTTGTGGCGGTGGCAGGGATGTTGAGGTGCTGCTTGTGGGTCTCGGCTGCTCCGGTGTCTGTCTTCAGACTCAGCAAAACGCAGTGGTAGGAGCTGAGGTGATTCGGAGCAGCGTAACATCAGCGCTGAGTTATCAGGGCAGGGTTTGGAGAGCCGTGAGTCGCTGTATCCCCCCCCACCAGAGGTGAGAATGCATTTTCCAGGATTAAGAGCTCAATCCTTAAATGCTTGTATTATAATGAGTAAAATACCTCAGTTATTAGGAAAGGCAAAACTTACATTTTGTTCTGTATCAATTAGAAATAACATTTCATTGTGGTTTTAGGTGTACTCATGTACAGCTGTGGATTCCAGTAAATGCTGCATTAATACATGGAGGAATATAAAAGAGCTGAAGGGAAAGCAAGGTACCAGTGCAGAGAAGACCAAGTATTCCCGAGTGATTTCACAGGTGAGAGGGACAAAGTGGAGAGACACACTTGGAGGATACGACGCATCCTCGGCCAGCCCGGTAAACTCCAGCTATTACAAACATCTGGTAAGCCCTCCAAGGAAGAGAGGATGGAGAAGCAGTGTAACAAAGAAAGTAGAAAATAAAGACTCAGCGAGTCACATCCAGAAATTAATTTCCCTGGTGAAGGAATGGGATGCGGTGAGCTCCAAGAGGTGTGATTGTCAGCACATGAGAACGTCTGACGGTTGTATCGTGGAGCGTATAACTCGGTGCAACACCCCTGGAAAGGACAGAGGTGTCAGAGCTCCTGTCGCCTCTTCTCCTGGGAAAATAAGCTTTATAGTTCAAGGAAACAATCACATTACCCAAAACGAAGTTGGGGCTGCAGGAAAGCAGCCGGAGCAATACGTGTTGGCACAGAGTTTGCCAGTTGCCCCAAGGGCTGGAACGTATCGATTCAGTGCCATAAAAGCGACTCCCACAGTCGGAAACGATGTGGAGAATATAAACGGGGAGCAACCAGAAGGTAAACGACTGCTCTGTGATTGTTGTTTTCAAAAGGGATGGGAGTAATTAACTAAATGACTTGTATAAATAAGATGCATTGATCGTGCTGATGAATTTCAGTGACAGTCTCAACCTTTTCTTGTTCTCCTGCTCATAGGAAGTTTTTCCAGTGAAGGAAGAGGCAAGACCTTGCAAATGAAACTCGTCCCTCTAAAAGACAGTGAGTTGATTGCCAGCTACCAGGCAAGGGCTGGATTGTATTGTTTGTCAATGCAGAGTTTAGTACATTTTAGTTTAGTACTAAAAATGTTAATGCCCCATCACGGGCATTAACAAATTGTTCTTTAATTGGCTCCTTGTCGCTCTGCCTTTAGAGCTGTGCAAGGAGCAGCAAAGCCGGTTTGATGTGCTTAAGTTATCCAGTTAGTTAAAGAAATCTGTAATTTAGTGTAAAGACTGAAAAACTGTTACGTTAAATCCAGAAGTTTCCATGGGCAGGTGCAGGAGTTGAAAAGATTTGCCTGATTAACCAAGATGCTAAACGCAAATTCAAGAAACCTCAGTGGAAAGTCTCGGTCCAAGATTTCTTCCGCCACCCTGGGAAGGATGTGATTTACCCTGTACCGCTTCCACCGCGGGGAACACAGCGGGTTTTCACCGAGTCGCTGGCAAAGCAAAATGGATTAATAATGATTGTGGATGGTTTCGTTACCATAGCAGTGCAAGACAGATTATTATTGTCCCAGGAAAAAAAGCTCTTTCATATCCCGTGAAAGAATCCCAGACTGAGTAGTGCTTGGGTCCTGTTAAACACTATGTAACGGTTACTCCGACTTTTCCATGTGAAAGAGGGAAGTAGAGAAGACCTGTAATGTTATACATAAGATTGCAAGTTATTTGGTGTAAAGGTTGTCATTCTTTCCTGGCAAATGTTTTACAGCACGACAGAATAAAGCCGGAACGAGGCATAACTTTGAAGAGAAGATGACAACATTGTGTTCATACTTAAAAATGGACACACGTGTTTAGCCTGTTACTGTTGATCCAGGCTTTGCTGTAAAATCCAAACTGCGTTCCTTCACAGAAACTGGGGACAGCGAACACACCGACCTTGCTCCGGCAGACCACAGCGACGTAGGATTGATTCTTAAAGTTGACCATCCTCCGGTTTTAGGCAGCAACGGCTTTTGTGCGTGCAATGAAGTGAGTGTTGTTTACAGCACTCAGCTGGATGGCAGCGGGCTGGATACGCCGAAGGCTCAAGCACTGTCCAAAGGTAAGGAGCTGTAAAGAGCTCTGGGATCTTGCTGTGGAATTTTTAGCATGAAAACCATTCCCTCCGTCATGGTTTGTTTTGTCGGTTCGGACTGACTGAGTAGCTAGTTACCGCAGCCGAACCACAGCTTACACTTAATTCCTCAGAACAGCAGGACAGCTGCTGCCTAACCCACCAGGTGCCAAGAGTATTTACTGGTGAACCTCCTTAATGCCTCCAGAAGGATGCATTAACCACTGGCAGGCAGGGCTCCGTTGCAGTAGAGTCTTGGCCAGGAAAGGCATTAAAGAAGGGGAAGGCTGGATAACTGAGACGGTGAATGCTGAAACCACAGCCTTTTTTTCTTGTTTTTCCCCCTAATGTGTTTGTGTTCTTTCAACTGTTTTTTATAGATGTAGTTTTTCTTACCTTTCCTCTCTCGCATGAGGAGATGTTCTACGCCAGGAAGTGCCACTTTTTCCTGACGGATGTCATCCTAGACTCCGTAAGGCAGAAGGATCCCAAAGAAATCACAGCCAAAGTCGGGACCCTTGTGAACAGGCTGTGGGTAGGTACAAGTTCCTGACAGCCCGGCTGAGCCGCGCTCGCTCACCTTCCCCTGGGGCGCCCGGAGTTAGGAACCCCTGGCAGCTCCGGGAGTCGGGGTTGTCACCCTTCGGTCAGGAAGGGTGGAAGGGGAGTGCAGGGCTGCTCCGTGCGGGGTTGTGGTGGAAATAAAGGCCCAGACTCGAGGGGCCGGGATGTTCTGGGTTTTTTTCTCTTGCATTGGAAGTACCCGCTCCCCCCCCACAGTGGGATCAGTCCGGCTTTGAGTAGCTCCAGCCAGAAGCACTTTTCTTCTTTCCTGGGAGAGGCGGGAGAAAGGTGCACAGAGACCCTGGGAGAGCTCGTCCTTGAGTTTTTCTCTGCCTGCGTGTCTGTGTGCGACTGATCCCAGCCCAGCCACCTCACACCCATCCCTCTCAACCTTACTAATAAGGAACCCCGGCCAAGGCCAGACCAGGAACTTCTCCATCCAGCTGGTAATTTCACGTACGGGGAGCGTCGCTCACTGGACAACACCCCCCCTCGTTGATACGACCGTGCCCTGGTCTGTGTTTTAGACTCAGCAGATTGCACCCAGGGAGTTCGTTTCTGATTTACTGAACATGGAGTATTTTAAAGGGGACAGAAACGTTCACCAGGAGCTACTGCAGTGGGTGGAAGTAAGCAGCCTTTGCCACCAGGTGCTGCTGTACGGCTGCGCCTTTTTTCTTCCAAATGCTGTTGGCTGTTTGAACTAGTTGACATTCCCAGTTTTGTTTGCAGTTAAATGAGGGAGGGGGCATTTTACAGCACAAATTGACCAATGTCATGTATAGTCTTAATAGGAGTTTAAAATTGTGCTGCTAACTTAGAAGATTGCCCAAAAAAGCAGGCAGAAAGCTTCTAGGGTTGTTAAGAAAGGGCAAGAGGGGGTGATGCTGCTGTTGGGTGGTCGGTGGGTGGTTTAACAGCGGCCTCGGGTTTGTGCGTTCTCAGTTCACCCTGCCCTTCGCGTGGAAGTACAGCCGCTGCCTCGACTTACTGATCCGGAGAGGCTTTGCAAGATCGGTCTCATACTTTGCCCTGGAAATGTAAGTTCACAGAACGTTAATAAAAATTTGACGCAGCTCCTTTTTGGTACGTTTTATTTTCTTGTGGCCCGGGAGGTACACACCTCATCTGCCGCTTGAGAAACCCCCTTTTTGCTCAGCCTTCTTTCAACTTTCAGCAGTGACTTCGTTTAGTCAGGAATGTCCTTGTTTCTTACAACTTTGAGCGACAAGCAGAGTTCATTTAACAGAAGACGACGCTTTCACAAGGCAAGACTTCAGCTCTGTTAATAGTATTTGCGCAATAAAATTAGAATAATAATCAGAGGGTCTAGAGCAGTTACTTCATGTTTTATTTTTAAGCACATTGTGCAGACTTTGCTGTTCCTGTTTTAAAACCTCTGCAGCTCTGGGGAGGAGAGCTGACGCTTCTCATCACGGGAACTCAAGCGAGTCGCCATCCGTTTCATCCTGTCTAACGGCCTGATTAAAACATCATTTCCATCCCCCACCGGTATTCTGAGAGAGAATTTAGACACCCCAGGGAAAACTGCTCTTCTCCATGTACGCCTGTTTCCTCTCCTGCAGCTGAAGAAATCAAGATACAACACAAACAAGTTTCATATAAAGAAAATAACCTTTATTAGACCAATCAATCAAACCCTGAAAAAACAGTGTCAGGTAAACATTACTAAAGGTTTTTCCAGCAATGCAGAAACCTTTGAAACTGAGAAATTCAGGAAGTTTCATGTTCCTTTTGTTGCATTAGTAAATTCTCTCCCTCTTGTGCCATGAGCTATTTCTGTCTTGACAGCCCAAAAATCTTGCGTGAACTCAGCAATTATTTTAAAATAGGAACTTCTAACAATCTTCCCTGTGCAACTGTTTCCCACGCAATTTTGTACAGAGGTGTCAAACTGCGTTCTCTTTGCTGTCTAAAAAAAGAACAAGGTTTAAAAAACATCCAGCTTATTAAAAACAAACGAGTGTTTTTATGTACAGTACAGGAATTCCCAAACTTGAAGGAACACGGCCGATATGTTGAGGGTGATGCGGGTGGCTGAGAGGTTTAACAGCCCAGACTCTGGCAGGGGCCGGGGCCAGGCGGCTCCCCCACCCCAGCAACTACGGGGAGAAAACCGCAGTTGAGTAAATTCCTCAGGCTGAAGGTGACACCGGCTCTCTCGCACCTGGGGCAGCCTGATTTATAGCACTTCATAAACCAGGAGTAAACAGGAGCTTGGCAGCAAGTAACTACAGTTTCCAATAATGCCAATTCTCATTTCCCCCAAGGAGAGGGAGAGGGCATCACCATGAGCCACGATGTTACTCAGGGATAAGCAGCCTTTCAACACGTTTGTCCTCCTCCAGTTACACCGTGCTACTTCCAACAACGTGGATTTAAGGTTTGGCCTTATAATCGACCCACTGCGCTCAAACCCTGTTGGTCTCAGCTGCCACCACCACCCCACGCTCCTCAAACAAGCCCCGCTGGCGGGACTGAAGTCGGTTAGCGCAGAAAT